AACCCATGGGCCCCTAACATGGGCCCATAGGGGATTCTAGGGTCCCTTAAGGGCTTAAGGGTATATATAGGGTATATAGTAGGTATATGAGGGTCCCAGGGTTAAGGGCCCATACTAGGGGCCCATGGGTTCTACCTCAGAGCTTAGTTAGCCAATAGGAGAACTTTCAACTTTTTGGCCTTATATATTTGGTCTATCCTAAAAAGTTTGAACTTTTTGGGCCTGGTTGTTGAAGAAGAGAGACTGTAGACTTTATTCTATTTTGTACTCTTGAGTATGCCTTGTACTAGTTACAATCCTTAGTTCCCCAACATCCAACCTTTAAACTTTCTGGGTTCTTATAACTTAGTAGTACTCTGAAAGTTTAACCTTTTATTTCCCTTGCCTGTGGGGGAAGTAAGTACCTACTACATGCTATAGAGCATCTACTACCATATACCCGGAGCAGCTGGGGCTTTGAACATTTGGGTTTGCAGGATTGCCGGTTCACCTACACCCCACCACTCAAAGGCTCAAGAGACTTGGCAAGTAGGGTTTAGGGTTTTAGGTTTAGGGAGGTTCTATGTAGGATAAGCCCGTTCAGGGCACTGATGACCCCAAGTATAAACTAAGTCCTTGAGCTTTTAAGCTCCCCTTTGGCATGGCATAAATACCCCCTCAGCTAAGGACCATGAGGATTCCGTTGTCAGCTACATAAGCCCCAGGGCCCAATCCTAGGTAGTATCAGGGAGACCGAGACCCCATAAAAGGGGACCCTTCTTACCCCTACTTCTGGCTCTCTTGAAAGGTTATTACTGAGAGGATCTACATGTTTGCAAGGGTCCCCCTGCTCCTAACTCCCACCCCAAAACCCTTCAACCCTTAGATCCTAAGCCCTGCAGGTTTATTTGCTCTAAACTACTACTACTACTACTACTACTACTACTACTACTACTACTGCTGCTACTACTACTACTACACCACTACAGTACTCCTGTACTACCTTACTACTACTACTACTACTACTACTACTACTGTTACTACTACTACTACTACTACTACCACTGCTACTACTGTTACTGTTATAGACCCTTCTTGCAGGACGAGTCGGCTCTTTAAACGAGGTTGGATTATTTTGACCGAGGGTTTAACAACCTTAGGCTGAAATCGTATCAGTTCCAGCTTGAACTACCAAAACCCACTGTTTGCCGGGTCCCACAAAATTCCATATTAGAGTCTAAAATAAGAACCTTCAAAACCTAGGTTAGGGTATGTCGTTTTGGGCACCTTCTGCTGATCCCGTCGTGAGGCCATGACCCAAAACTACTTCAGGCAATCGTGAACCCAATCCGCCCCAAACCCTACTAGTCGTCGTCGTCGTCGTCGTCGTCGTAGTCGTAGTCGCCGTTGTCATCGTCGTAGTTGTAGTGGGGGCCTCAATAGTTCCAATAGTTGTTGGTGTATATTATTTCAGTATGGGTGGAAGAATGGAACCCTTAAGGAAGAATATAGGGGCCTAAACAATTACCTATACTATTTTGGTTGTTCCTGATAACAAACATAATGCTATATACCCCAAAACCCTGTTCTAACTATTAAGGCCCCTACATTATGGTGTACAGTTCTTTATAAAGGGCTTATTGTGATTAAGGGTATATCGTCCTCATTCAAGAAGCCTCTATTCTGGACTTCGCAACACCGTGTAGGATCCTAGACACCCAGCAAATCCTCAAACCCGAAGCCCCAAAACCCTTGGTGCCTCTGATTTCTGCCGGCGAAGGTGGGTTCTGGCAGCTCCCGCAGACTCCACAAGACGACCTGCAGATGGACATAGAGGTGGAAAAGCAAGAATATTCAGAGAAGAAAGAAAGGCTTTTCTTTTACCGGGACGATAAAAACGGTGAGAACGGCTTCGATTGAGGGTCTGAAGGGGGTTATTGGGGTTCTAGAGGGGCCTTCATAATTGCCTATATTACTTTGGGGGATCCCCCAAAACCCTATTCTGATTGTTAAGGCTCCCACACTAGTAACCCTTCATAGTATCCCTTTGTATCCCTAAACCCTAGACCCTAAACCCTAAACCCTAGACCCTAAATCCTAAACCCTAAACCCGAAATCCTAAACCCTAAACCCAAACCCTTAAACCCTAAATCTTAAATCTTAAACCCTAAACCCTAAATCCTAAACCCTAAACCTTAAATCCTAAACCCTAAATCTTAAACCCTAAACCTTAAATCCTAAACCCTAAATCCTAAACCCCAAACCCATGGGCCAGTGGTTCTCTAAGAGGTTTCAGTTGGGGCTTCAGTGTTTTGGCCTTGTGGGCCCTGTAAGGCAGAGGCTGGGTTTAGGGTTGTGGGTTTTTGGCTTTTGGGCTGTGGGTTTTTGGGTTTTGGGTTGTTTTGTTTAGGGTTTAGGGTCTAACATACCCTCCAAAACCTCTTTAGACAGCTCGATGGAAAGTGCTGTTTTAAAGCAGGGTTTCCTTTCAAAGGGCTCTCTGGCACAGGGCCCTGTCCCAATCTCCTGGGGGGTTACCCGGAGAGAACGGGAGGGTTTACTGCAAGCCTCAAGCACCCTAAACCCTAAACCCTAAACCGACTCTAGACTCTAGACTAAGCCTAAACCCTAAAGCGGGTTTTGGGTTTTGGGCTTAGGGTTTACCTGGAGGATCATGGGGCTTAGTAAGTAAGGTCATAAGTACCCTAAGTGGGGTTACAGTTATAGTTATCTTATTTATAACCCTAGTTACTAAGTCCCATGATCCTCCAAGTCTTACGGGTACTTAGAAATAAGTTTTAATCTTTGGCTACTATAAACCCTAAGAAGCAGCTAAAATTATTTTTTTTGCTAGGGGGTCTAAGTTCAGTATAGAAGTCGGGAAGCCACCCTAAACCCTAAACCCTTGAAGTTGGCTGGTCTAAAGCCTAAGAACCCGCCTGCTGAGGCCATGGCAGGCGTCAGCCGCGCTGAAGCACCCGACTACTGGAGCGTTCAGGGCTTTCGCTATGTCCATAGGGTTTAAGGCTTTAGGGTTTAGGGTTGAGGGTTCCGCACACTCTAAAATCTGAATCCTCAACTAGCAGGGAGGTGGCAAGAATCCGATTCGGCAAATACCTACCCTCCGAACTGTAAACCCGCAGTCCGTCCTTGCCGGTCCATTGTGAACCCTAAACCTAAAACCCTAAACCCCAAGCCCTAAGCCCTCAACCCTAAGCCCCAACTCTGTTTCGGGGCTTGAGAGGTGGCTTGCGAGATTTGGAAGTATTGGGTTTCAATCCCTAAACCCTAACCCCAAAGCCCCAAAGCCCTAAACCCCAAATCCCTAAGCCCTAAATCCCAAATCCCTATCCCAAATCCCTAAGCCCTAAACCCCAAATCCCCAAAGCCCTAAACCGGTCAGGGAAGGCCCTGAAAATCGAAACCCTAAACCCTATCAAGTCTAAACCATATGGGCAATTCTCTAAAATAAGGTCCCTTTTAGTGTCCTTTTTAATTAACTGGGTGGCGTATTATATCGGGGACCCAAAAAGGGACTCTAATCTAGAGAACTACCCATATGTACATCAAACAAAAGGTATCGAAGGAGGGCAATACTGACCCTCAGCTCTGTCAATGTCCGAGATGTTTTTTGTTTCGGTCGTTGGCTGAAAACGGAGTGTGGCAAAACGGATCCTTGATCGTTCCTCCCTAAGCCCTACAAGGACGACATCCCCACAACAACAACAACAACAGCACACGTCCGAAACACGAAACCTGAGACTTCATAAAGACCCTATCCTTCACTCAGAAGGGATTTTGTCTGCCCTTCAGGAAGAACCGCGGCTTGCACACTCACTTCCGCTGCGTGCAGCTGCTGGAAGATGCAACAGACACCATGCAGGCTGGCCTAAAGACAATGCTTTGATATGATTGGTTCTACCGGAAGTAGCTCTTATACTAAGAATAACAGTGACAGCAGTTAGTAAGATTAGAACATTCGTGGTAAGAATTGGTCATAATGGACTTACGCCGCAACCTCTCTTTAAACCCTAAACCCTCAAGTTTCCAACCCTGCGCAACCCCAATCTCAACACGCAACCCTGAACCCTAGACCCTCAACCACTTGCAGACGGCCCTAGGCCCTACGTAGAGTCTTGTCCGTAAAGCTTGCATAAGATCCTTATGAATGTCCTTACAAAGCCCCTCTGAAAACCGCCCGCATGTAGCATTTAAGAGCTCTGAGGCCTTGCGGGGATTTAGAGTTTAGGATTTAGGGGTTTAGGGTTTAGGGTGTAGGGTAGGGGACTTAGGGGAAGAAGGTTTTGAGCTATTGATTATATGAATTCGGGCTTGGGGCTTGGGGGCTTATCGGGTGTCGTGTTAAGGGGGGCTAAGTGTTAAGGATTTAGGACTTTGGCTCACAGGTTCTTGACGGTTTCGTGCTCATAAAGCGGGACGCTTGAACGAAAGAACTGAACCGAGAGGGCTCCATCCCTAAACCACCCTAACGGGTTCAGGGTTTTGGATTTAGGGATTTAGGGTTTTAGGGCCCCGTAAACCCTCCCAAGAACCGGACTGGAAATTCCTTTGCCTGGAGTCACAATTCACTACTTCAACGGATCAGGGGACGCAGAAGGTACCGACGCTGGAAGTGCAAAACCTAGTATAGGCGGTCTGCATTTTATATCATCGTACGCGGGCCTTACAGGGGTTACCCTAAACCCTAAACCCTAAACCCTAAACCCCTAAACCCTAAACCCTAAACCCTAAACCCTAAACCGGCTGGTACACTAAGAGATCCTTATAAGGGACAGGAGTTCACGCGGGGTTCGGATTATGAGTAATCGCCAAGAGGGTAGCTTTCTAAATTAGGGTCCCTTCTGGGGGTCCTTTTTATAAGGGTGCCGTACTATATTGGGGGCCTAAAAATGGACCCTAACTTAGAGAACTACCCAAGAAGTTGGAAACCGGAGTAAGGACAACTAGTGCCGGGACCCTAAACCCTAAACCCTAAACCCTAAACCCTAAACCCTAAACCCTAAGCCTATACATTACACTTAAGGATTGCGGCCATTCGGCTTTCAACTTTTGGGGGTTCTACTACATGTGCTTGGATGATCATGGGACTTAGTGACTAGGTTTATAAATAAGGTAACTATAACTATAGCCCCAATTAGGGTACTTATAACCTTACTCACTGAGTTCCATGATCCTCTAAGTCGGGTCTAGTGCTCCCCGCAAGCCTCAGATTCCCTCGTACCCTCCCCCCCTTTTCTTAGGATCCCATAACTACAGCTTTGTACTTCTACGCCTCTAAACCCCTAAACCCTAATCCCTAAACCCTACCTTAAGAACCCAACACCAATTTTTGTAGGTTCTTATTATAAACCCTAATATGGGATTTATAGGGGACCCTACAAAAAAGTAGGTTTGGGGTTCTTAAGGTAATCCCCAAATAACCCTAAACCCTAACCCCTAAACCCTAAACCCTAAACCCTAAACCCTAAACCCCAAACCCCCTAAACCCTAATCCCTAAACCCTAATCCCCAAATCCTGCAGCCCAGAACCCCAAAACTCTAAGCTCTCAGCCTGGAACCTTCGATCCTCAACACCGGTTTAGAGTTTAGGGTTTAGCGTGTAGGTGGGTTTAGGGTTTAGGGTTTAGGGTTTAGGGTTTAGGGTTTAGGGTTTAGGGTTTAGGGTTTAGGGTTTAGGTTAGTTTGTAGGTTGTAGGGGTTTAGGCTTTAGGGCTTAGGGTGTAGGTGTTTAGGGGTTTAGGGATTAGGGGTTTAGGGTTTAAGGTGTGGGGATTTGGGGTTTGGGGTTTAGGGGTTTAGGGGTTTAGGGATTTAGGGTGTAGGGGTTTAGGGGTTAGGGGTTTAGGGTTTAGGGTTTAAAGGTTTAGAGTTCAGGGTTTAGAAGCCTGGATCATGAGATTAGAGGTTCTGGTGGTTTTATACTGTAAATATCTAGTGCGAAACTTTTAGGAGCAGCACGACCAAGCATTTGAGGCTAACTTTTAACTCCCAGCAAAAACTAATTCGAAACCCAAACCGAAATCCTCAACCCGCCAGTCGGCAGCAGTGACCCCAAATCCCTAAACCCTAAACCCCTAAACCCTACACCCTTTGCGGAGAGAAAGTCCCAATGCACTTTAAAAAACTCTGCACCCTAAGCCCTAAACCCTACACCCTAAACCCTAAACCCTGAACCCAGATCCCTCGAGACCTTGAGCCCAAGCCACGAAGCGTAGAGGTCGAAACAACTAGGGTTTAGGGTTTCGCTTAGTTCCCCAATACCCCAACCTTCAAAATTTTGGGGTTCTTATAATTTAGTAGTAACCTGAAAGTTTAACATGTTTTCTAGAGTTGTTAGGGAAGTAAGTGAGGGTTTGGTTACAGAATCCCTTCATAGTTCCTTCTACAAGTTGACTAGAATGCCGCCACAAGCCGTGGTTCAATTGTCAAGGCCGTTGCATTACCCCCACACACACCACGTGTGGTAACACTTATAAACCCTTGCCGAAGGAACCCTTAAATTGAACGAACCCCGTTCCAAGTTAAGCCTCTGCGTTAGATCCTTATAGAATCTTAAAAGTCCTAAAGCCCTAGACCCCTATAATAACCCAAAGCTTTTTCATACACCCCCGGAACCTATTCTATTTGCGAAGACCCCGAAGTTCCAGGCCCACATCCAGCAACTCCTGGACGACTGCTTTATTGCTGCGGCTACACGAGATCGAAAAGGAGCCCTTCCCTCACGCCGCCTTGACCAAAAGTGCTTTAGAATTCGGGCTCCCGGTTCAGGGTTCGGGTTTCTATACCCTAAACCCCCAAACCCTAAACCCTTGGGGCTAAAGGGACACCCACGGTTTAGAGTTTAGGGATTTGGGTTTAGGGGTTAGGGTTTATAGGGGTTTAGGGCTTATAGGGTTTAGGGTTTCGTGTGCCGCTGAGATTGCCTTGGAGACGGAGCCCCAAGATTCCGAAGCGTACTATAGAAGCCTAAACCTTAAACCCTAAGCCCCAAACCCCCCAAACCCTAAACCCCTAAACCGTAAACCCTAAACCCTACTATAGAAGCCTAAATAATTACCAACACTGCTCTTAGGGCTCCTTAATAACATTGTATCTTATGTTAAAAAAGAACCCAAACCACTATTCTAATTGTTGAGGCCCCTGCATTAACCTGAAATATGCGTAGTCTCTTGTTGGCTTGGCTATAAGCTATAACCGTATGGTCAGGATGATTAGTTATGGTACTGCCCGTCCAGGGGCGTCTTAGGCACTCCACCCTAAACCCTAAACCCTAAACCCTGAAACCCTAAACCCGAGGGCTCGTGGTGGAGATGATCCAACGCGTCGAAGACAGCGCCCTCTGGCAGAAATACTCCGATCGCCGGGCAAGGCAGGGTGCAAAAAAAGAGAATACCGGTTTAGGGTTTAGCAGTTTAGGGTTTAGGGGTTTAGGGGTTTAGGATTTAGGGTCTAGGGTGTATAGGATTTAGGGTTGAGGGTCCTAGAGACCGCAGAACCGCTTAACAATAATCTTACTAGTCGTAATAATACGATTGTCAGCAATAACACTGATAACAGTAATCTTGGAAGTACCCATATCAAGAAGAAAAAGAAGATGATGACTGACAATAATAAAGAACAACATTCTATCAGTAACAGTAGTCATAATCACAACTTACTTTCAAGTCATAACAATGAAATGCCAATCAGATTGATACCCATGTATACGATATTATTGGATAAAACAATCAAATAAGTATAAGTTAAATCAGAATAATAAAAGTACCACGAATATTCATGACAACAGTAATTGTAGTCAGGACGCTCATGCTAACAACCATACTACTAACACCAAGACTAACAGCAATAATAAGCAATAGTACTATGAACTTTGATCGTCAGCATATGTAGATGCTTTCATAGGTGCCCGCAGCCAGTGGATATCATCGTTAAAATCATCACAGTGACGGCCCTGATGATGGAAGCACGTTTCTTCAATCACAATGGAGGTCTCTGGAACCGTTAAGGTCAGGTCCCTTTTGGGAGTTCCTTGCCGTTTTTGCCCAAGTGCTGCAGCATGGACCTAGATCCTGGGTACATGATGGAGAAGCCTTGTGGAAATTCCTAACTAAACCCTAAACCCTAAACCCTAAACCCTAAACCCTAAACCCTAAACCCTAACCCTAAACCCTAGACCCTAAACCCTAAACCCTAAACCCATTCTGAGACGGAAGTGGCGCAGGATTGCATTGAAGACCGACGAGGTCACACAGCTGGAGGCATCTCGTCTTACACACATCTAGCACACCTTAAATGTGAAAGCGTGAAACTCGATGAAAGCCCTAGTCTTATCGCAGACAGGTATCCTGTACTGTTTAGGGTGTAGGGTTTACGGGATTTGGGTTTAGGGTTAGGATTTTTGGGGGCCCTGATAGTAAGGATCCTACTATTTAGGGTACTATATTGGGGTCTCCTTTTTTGGGAAACCCCCATGTTGAAGTACAACAAGCCATTAAACCCAGCCACAAGCCTTCCTGAGTTATCCATTGCAGAAGCAGCATGGGTTTAGGGTTTAGGGTTAGGATTTGGGGCTTATGGTTGGGGGAACATGAACAGCAGTGCCAGGCAAGCAGATATGTCTCACGATTTGGCGCAACCAGACACGACGAAACACCAACCGTGAGCCTAGATTCCTAAACCCTAAACTCTAAACCCTAAGCTCTAAACCCTAAACTCTACACCCTAAAACTCCAAACCGTCAAGGACCTGCCAGGCAGCGGCAGCAGCAAGACCACAAGAAGCCTGGGCGACCTCAACACGAGGCACACTGAAGCACTTGGAAGTAATGTAGGGGCCTTAATAATTAGTGTATAGGGTTTGGGGTTTAGGGTTTAGGGTTTGGGGTTTAGGGTTTAGGGTTTAGGGTTTGGGGTTTAGGGTTTAGGGTTTAGGGTTTAGGGTTTGGGGGTCCATTATAATATGATTCGAATAAGGAGCCCCCCAAAATACTGTGGGTAGTTATTTAGGCCCCTATATTAGGTGTTCGATCTTCCAGGTTTCTCGTAGTGGAGCGTCTGTTCTTGCATGCATGCATACATACATAGATGCATGCGTGCATGAACGCATACATCCATGCCTGCATGCATGCACATCCATGCATGAATGGATTAATTGATCGATTGTTTGATTCTCTTTCGTTGGCCTACATAGCCTCGCAAGAAAGACGAATTGCAACTGCAAGCTGTTACAACCTGAAAGTCCTTCCTTTAAGCTGCAGAGCCCAACAGGTCAGGTCTTGATGCCCTACCTGGACCCTGAAGAACCTACCTTTTTTAGGGTTCCGTATTATGATTTCTTCATATAAGTCCCTAAAATGGTAGGTTATGTGGGGGGTTAAGGTACCCTAAACCCTAAACCCTAAACCCTAAACCCTAAACCCTAACCCGTGTCTATACTGGAGTGTGGGCTTGAGGATCGTGCACTTCACCCTCGACCGCTAAAGCTCGAAGCCCGTGAACCCCAAAGCCTATCCCCAGAAGCCCGACAGACTTTCAATCCTTCAAGCCCTGAACCCAAAGCCTGGAGGCGAGATAGCATCATACACGATACCCTGACAGTCCATGCAAAGCTGATACTACAACGTACCCCGGCCCCAGCATCCTATTCCAATTGGGTGGTTGTCAAAATTATGGTCCCTTTCTGGGTCCTTATTATAATACGGCACCTATTGTTTAGGGTACCCCAAAAGGGACCATAATTTTGACAACTACCCAATTATATAAGCGATCCTATACGAACCCATGAGGCTGGACAGCAGCATCAACGAGCTCTACCTGTTCCACGGCTCCAGTCCTGCTGGCGTCCTTGGAATAGGCACCTCAACTACCACAGCCGGAGAAAGCAACCCACTTTGGTAGAGGGTTGAAGGGCTTTGGGTTTGGGGTTTAGGGTTTATGTTGCAGGTGCTTCTTTACAGTTTGCATAGGGTTTTTCTCAAGTAGCCGTCACTACCGTGCAGTGCTTAAAGATACCTGACCCCCCAAACAGCCACGGGGTAGGTTCCTTTTAGGATACCCGTGTACGGAAGAGCCTGGCTCCTACAAACTAAACGACCCGGGTAGACAAAACACACGTAAATCCCAAAGACTTGATTGACACCCTCAAGCGACGCCATTGAAGACTCTATGGCCTAAACCTACACGCTGGAACCTACAAATCTACTACAGAAGCCTGAACCATTTGTAATACGACTGTACTCCTTAGAGTTCCTGCCTCTTGGAATTTGGGCTTCCTTTGCCAAAGGATCTCTGCAAGAAGGATCGTACTTTTGATCTTGTTGCGTGGAGATGAGGGTCCCTTTTTCCGAGTATAACTAGCGGTAGTCCACCGAGCACCTATACTGCCCCGCCTACGAGTCCGCAGTTTGAGATTCCGGGCACAGGGCTTACATAGCGTTTAGGGCAAGTTGAGGGGTCATCAAAGAAGCACAGAACCCAAAGCCCTGAAACCCTCAAGCCCTAAACCCTAAAACTTGAGACTTAACCCTAAACCCTAAACCCTAAACCCTAAACCTTGAGACTTAAACCCTACTCCCCCAACCCATCTCTCGAGGCTCTTCCGGGTTTAACTTGGACTTGGCGGGCTCAAGTGCTGGCATGATGCCACTTGGACTTTAGGGTTTAGGGTTTAGGGTTTAGGGTTTAGGGTTAATTGTTGCCAGTGTAGTACAGGGGGCCTTAACAAACAGACCAGGGTTCCTTTATTAAGGCTTCCGTTTAAAGGGACAACAAGGGTTTCGATGAGGATTACTTAGCAAGGGTGTTTAGTACCGTGGCCTTAGAAAGTAGAAGGAGGTTTTGGGGGATGTTATGCTGCAACTATAATCGGAACCCTGAGGAATTGTATAGGGAATTGTTCAGACTTCGTCTTGGCATGCCAGATTTGAGCTGATGGGTTTCAGGTTCATCTGTAATGGAGTCATGGGGTTTTGTATGCATCTCATCGACGTAATTGTTCTGGGCTTGGAAATACTCACGGCAAAACAGCCACATTGAGGATTTTACGCAGGAGGGTCCGAGTGTTTCCGCTGGGGTTTAAGGTCTTAACGTTTTGGGCAACACGAGGGACACACTACCCAGCAAGTCAAGCAGGGATGAGAGTCTTGAACAGTCGCCAAATCCTGAAGGGGTAAGTGAGCACGCCGTGCGACACAAAAACCCTAAACCCTAAACCCTAAACCCTAAACCGGTTCGGGAGGGACTGTGGGGCTGTGGGGTGGGGGTGGGGGTTCTGGCGGTGCAAAGGGTCTCCAAAACAACTTTGCTGTTTTATTGGGTCTTGTCTCAATTAACCCTAAACTCCTAGACCCTCAACCTATGTAAACCTGTAAACCCCTAAACCCTAAACCCCTAAACCCGATTGAAGAACCCCGACTCCCTCAACCTTGAGCCCTACAACGCGAAGTGCGCACCAAGCCCTTTGATATTCCTCTAAGACACAGTTTAGGATTCAGGGCCTGAGGTTTAGGGTTTTGGGGTTGATCGTTCTTTTCCCGGCTAAACCCTAAACCCGCATCCCTTGACGGGGAGAGTTCGTGGGTTTTACCATCAGTGCGAACGCAGCTCGTGGTCTCGGCGGTCCTTGTTAGGAGAGCATGGCCCCACGAAGATAAACAGGAGCTTCAAACAACCGAAAAGCGCCCTGACATTCCAAAAACAACAACCCAAAGAATCAACAAAATCTAAAGCCACCTATTTCAAGCCCCTAAATCCTAAACCCTAAAACCCCAAAAGCCAAACAATAAAACCCTAAACCCTAAACCCTAAACCCTAAACCCTAAACCGCAGCTTCAGGTTCGGCCCGGGGGCCTACTTCGCTGAGGCGAGCAGCAAAGGTGACGAGTCTTGGCCGTTCGTACACAACCGACGTGGGAGCTAGGATTAGGGGGACCCTTGGGGATATAGACCCTCTCAATAAGGTCCCTTTTAAGAGAGCCAAAAGTAGGGTTCAGAAGGGGTGCCCTTTAAGGGGTACCCCTAATAATACTACCTAACCGAACCTTTTCAATTCCAGTATCGCGTATGTATGTATATATATATATATATATGTGTATGTATATGTTCATACATATGCGCGCTATATATACATATACATATATGTATGTATGTATGTATGTATGTATGTATGTATGTATGTATGTATGTATGTATGTGTGTGTGTGTCGGAATACTTATCCCGTATACATATACTCCATAAACTAATAAGGCCCCTTACAGTATGTGTGTTTGTGTGTTTGTGTGTGTATATTTATATATATATATATATATAATATTCTTGTGAGGGGACAAGGAGTATGGAATAATTATTCTAGTATAGGAAACAAGCCGAAACAGTTTTTCCATTTCAACATATGTTCTAGCACGCGGGAAGCATGATCATATGTTTTCCCATGGGGTCCAAGTACAAATATAGTATGCACTATGGTGGCCCAAACATCTACGAAGAACCTGCAACAATTTGTTTTTGTTTCACCCTTTGGGTTTGCAACTCCCCAAATTCCCAAAACCCTAACGTAAACCCTAAATCCTAAACCTTAACCTTTTTTTTGTGAAAAAACCCTAAATCCTAAACTCCTAAACCTTAACTCCCTTTTTTGAGAGGGCTTTCATGAACAGCCCAGGAGTACGCCACCGAGGATCCTAGCGGCCTTTTTGCTGGGAAGCGCCTCCTTCTTCTGGGGTTTGGGGTTTAGGGTTTAGGGGTTTAGGGTTTAGGGGTTTAGGGGTTTAGGGGTTTAGGGTTTAGGGTTTAGGGTTTAGGGTTTAGGGTTAGGGGCCTTGATAATTAGAATAGGGTTTTGGGGCTTGGGACAGCCTGCAACATCAGACTTCGGACGGAGACGGTGTGGTCGTGAGATTCAGGGTTTGGTGGGGTTTCGAGTTTAAGGGGTTTAGGGGTTTAGGGTTGGGGTTTGGTTTTTAGGATGCTTGTATAAGGCTTCATAGCGGGTTTAATGCTGTGTTAAAGCCATGTGACGTGTGTGAGAAGGACACATATTCATTCCGCATGGTTTTGTAGAAGTGATAGGTTCGTGAGGGGCTTGTACGGGTGCTAATAGGGTTCTATAGGGTTCGCGTGAGTGTTCAGGAGTTTCTCGCAGTTTTCAGCATCCCCAGAGTAGTACTCTTTCGGGGCTTCAGACCCAGCGAATCTCCTACGAGCCTTGGTGGCGGAAAATTGTTTGAGATTGCACAATCATAATTCTCTTTCAACGCTTAATCTATACACGTGTTGTGAGTATACACCTAAGACCCTTTTGCTTCAATGGTTTGAGATTTGTTCGCCGATAGACCGGGCAGCCAAGGTCCCTAAACCCTAAACCCTAAACCCTAAACCGTCTAAGGTGCGCGATGCTCCTTTGTCGCGTGGTTTGCGGGGAACTCTTTCGAGTGGAGGCCGCAGACCCGAGGTTGGTACAGAATTCCAGGACCCGTGGGGTTTAGGGTTTAGGGTTTAGGGTTTAGGGTTTAGGGTTTAGGGTTTAGGGCCTACTTGGAGGATCATGGGACTTAGTAACTAGGGTTATAAATTAGGTAATTATAATTATAACCCCAATTAGGGTACTTATAACCTTACTTACTAAGTCCCATGATCCTCCAAGTAAACCCTATAAGCCCTGAACCAAAACCCAAAACGAGATCCGAAGCCTAAGACCATCAATCCTGATCCCTGACAACTTCATAAAGCCATGTAAAAGCTTACAAGAACGGTTTAGGGTTTAGGGTTTGGGGTTTAGGGGTATAGGGTTTAGCGAAGAACCCCGTCCCCAAAAAGCCGTCTTTAACCGAAGGGCCTCTAACAGCAAATGCAGGACCGGACGTTACGATGGTACCCTCGGAGACCGGGCAACTCGGTCTTTCAAGCGCAGCCTTTGTTCTTCAAGTTAAGTTTGGTTTGAGTTTGCATCTGTTTCATGAAGGGTTTTATTTTTTTTAAAAAAAAATAGGGTTTGGGTTGTACAGGGTTCGTGCTGGTCGCAAGCAGGGTTGTTAATATGGCTTCGATAGAGTTTCTACAAGGTAACAGGGGTTACTTCACATGACGTCGTAAGTAGGCGGCAGGTAGAGTAACTCCAGCCATAAGCCAGTCACTCGCATCCAAATGAAGCTCGTCATGCTTGTTACTACTGTAATGAAGAAGCCTAAAATTTTACTACTACTCCGTAGGGTGCTGACTTATTATGCTATTCATAGATACTGAATATTCTCCAAATCCTTATTCTACTATCAATTCCCCTATATTTCACCTAGCCATGAACCCTCAACTAGGTTTATCAGTGCGTGTCACATGCACGGCTGCTGCACAAGAAGCCTGTGCACCTGACCGAGGAGCATGCGGCTGGCACCTATCGCGAGTTCGTGGTGTACGACCAGGCACAGGTCTACCCTGAGTACGTGATCATCTACCGGCGGATCTTCGACTGACGCGAACCAAAGTTGTTCGACTCTGAGCCCGGTTTCACTGCGTGGTGAAGGACATTTGCCACACGAAGGGTCGGACCAGCAATGGTACGAAGACCCTGACTGGTTTGGACAACTCCTGCTGTTTGCAGGAAAGGGAACCCGGAGCCATGCCTGGACAAACAAGGCCGCTTGCTGATAAACGATACGGTGCTTCGAGGCTTCCTTGCAAGCAGGCGCATGCACTTACATGCTACAATGTGTATGCATGTATGTATGTATGTATGTATGTATGTATGTGTGTATGTCTGTCTGCATGTATGTATG